TTCATCATATCAGAAAATTAGAATATTACTGAAGACCAATAAAAACAAAGGATTTATAGAAATGTTGGCCAACTGAAAAGTATGAACATGAAAAGTATGAGCATGTACAGCACTCAGTATTTAGTTGGGCCTCCTTTGGCCTGTATTACTGCAGCAATGCGGCGTGGCATGGAGTCGATCAGTCTGTGGCACTGCTCAGGTGTTATGATAGCCCAGGTTGCTCTAATAGTGGCTTTTAGCTCTTCTGAATTGTTGGGTCTGGTGTATTGCATCTTCTTCTTCACAATACCCCATAGATTTTCTATGGGGTTAAGGTCAGGAGAGTTTGCTGGCCAATTAAGAACAGGGATACCATGGTCCTTCAACCAGGTACTGGTAGCTTTGGCACTGTGTGCAGGTGCCAAGTCCTGTTGGAAAATGAAATCTGCATCTCCAAAAAGTTGGTCAGCTGCAGGAAGCATGAAGTGCTCTAAAACTTCCTGGTATGTGGCTGCGTTGACCCTGGACCTCAGAAAACACAATGGACCAACACCAGCAGATGACATGGCACCCCAAACCATCACTGACTGTGGAAACTTTACACTGGACTTCAAGCAACGTGGATGAAGTGCCTCTCTTCTTTTCCTCCAGACTCTGGGACCTTGATTTCCAAAGGAAATGCAAAATTTACTTTCATCAGAGAACATGACTTTGGACCACTCACCAGCAGTCCAGTCCTGTTTCTCTTTAGCCCAGGCAAGACGCTTCTGACGCTGTCTGTGGTTCAAGAGTGGCTTGACACAAGGAATGCGACAGCAGAAACCCATGTCTTTCATACGTCTGTGTGTGGTGGTTCTTGAAGCACTCACTCCAGCTGCAGTCCACTCTTTGTGAATCTCCCCCACATTTTTGAATGGGTTTTGTTTCACAATCCTCTCCAGGGTGCGGTTATCTCTCTTGCTTGTACACTTTTTTCGACCACATCTTTTCCTTCCCTTCGCCTCTCTATTAATGTGCTTGGACACTGAGCTCTGTGAACAGCCAGCCTCTTTAGCGATGACCTTTTGTGTCTTGCCCTCCTTGTGCAAGGTGTCGATGGTCGTCTTTTGGACAACTGTCAAGTCAGCAGTCTTCCCCATGATTGTGTAGCCTATAGAACTAGACTGAAAGACCATTTAAAGGCTTTTGCAGGTGGTTTGAGTTAATTAGCTGATTAGAGTGTGGCACCAGGGGCCATCAATTTGGAACCTTTTCACAATATTCAAATTTTCTGATATGATGAATTTGAGATTTTCATTTGTTGTCATTTGTAATCATCAAAATTAAACAAAATAAACATCTGAAATATATGAGTTTGTATGTAATGTATGAATATAATATACAAGTTTCACTTTTTAAATGGAATTACTGAAATCAATCTACTTTTTCATGATATTCTAATTTTATGACCAGCACCTGTACATATTTAAGTCATTATGTTGTGACAGTATGTTATGAGACCGACAAGCTGTGAAAATATTGAGCACTTCAGTGGGGTTTGTATTTCTGCAGATGTCAGTAGTAGCTCAGGGAGGAAGGGAAGGAGATCAATCTATTTTTTTCAACAAATTATCTGTCTCATAACATATGTTTACAACTTGGTGACAGATATAGATTTATTTAAGAAAAGTATATAATATAACTTTAATCTGTATATGAGAGAGAAACGAGAGAAATTATTGCCATTTTTTTTCAGTTTTACACATTTGTACATTGTTTTGAAATAGCACATTTAAAAACAACATACATGTATGCACTGTTCATGAACGGCAGAGAAAATACTATTTTGATCGACTTTGATTAATTGTCAGAAATTCTGTGATTACTACACAGAAGTACTAAATAAAGATGTTAATGTTTAGTCCAGTTCTGTGTGTTAAATATCTAGGTGTTTTATGTGAATGTGGGTCTTTTAGATCAATTTTAGTGATTTTGATCATTTTTCACATTTTATTGTCACATACGCGCTGGTCTTGGTCTTGACTTGGTCTCGGGTTCTTGACCACAACACTGACTGGAAGTTTGTTTTCCTAACATATATACAGTTCTGATTGTAAGGATTGGTTTTCGAAGTTTGATGTTGGAAATAAACTGGCAAAGTATTTCTTCTGCGCGAATTTGTTCTTTTATATTCATGACATTTATTTGTATTCTTTATGCATCTAAGTCTTTAAAATGACTGAAATTCCACATAAAATCTCTTTGCCAGGATCATTTATAAACATTAAATCTGATGTTAGTATCCAACGGTTACTCAGCACTAAAGTTTCAAGTGTTTACTTGAGTAAACACTTTTTTTTAAATTAGAGCTACTCTTAATTGAATATAATTCTTTGGTACTCTACTCACCTCTGTTTAGAGGAAAGGTTTAGTGGTTTAAATAATAATGAAGACAAGAGAGTTAATATTTTTCAAGAAAATACAAATCTGCATTAAAAACAATGAAGAGTAAAAGTAAGATAAGAGAAAAAAGATGAGATGGACGGTAGGTTAGATCTTCCTTAATGGAGTGGAGAGAAAGAAAATGTCCATTATCATTGAACTATAAATGTTATGAATTGAGTTAGAAAAATGTTATTGTCAAAAATCATCGCTTTAATACTAACAATGAAAAGCAGAACATTGATCGTATTCCTGTGGCTCTCTCTAATTTTCATAAACAAGCCCTTCTGGCCTGGTCACTGATGTTCAAACATCATTTTTCTCCTAATAGGTATTTTCTTTGGAATACCAAAGATATATGTTATAAGAAAAAAATCTCTGTTTTTTTGAAAACTGGTTGGTAAGTCAACTTTTCAATGAAAAAGGAAACCTCTTTAATTACGGTATCAATAATGCCATTTTAAGATTCCTATAAGCCCAAAACAATTTGCTATTTTTTTTATGCTGTTCCACCAGGTGTTATAATGTTATTTAAAGGTCAGACTTCTCTGTTCTCCAAAGGCCCAAGACCTCCAACTGAACTAACTGATGCTTATATAGGTAGACTGTGTGTTTTCAAACCAAATCTCCTAAAAATAAAAAACCAAGCAAATTCCAAGTAAGCTGCATCTCAGTTCCTTACGTAACTTCAGTCTGGTCTGGTCTCAGGAGTATGCGGGAACAAAACGTGGTCTCTACCCATTAAATATTTACTAGTAAACAAGGTTAAAGAGGTTTCCTTTAAGATCATTCACAGCTGTTACCCAGTAAAGTCATTTTTGATTAAATATAAAAAGGACATTGATGCCATTTGCACTTCCTGCAACAGTTACTCTGAGTCTGTCTCTCACTGGTCCTGTGAGTACACCAGGCATCTAAGGCAAGGTGTATGTTGCTTCATTCTGGACAATATTTATGACAAATTGGAACTTTATTTTAAGGATGCTTTATTTGGAATCACAAAAATATAAAAAAAGAAAATTCTGACCATTTCTTCTCATGTATCATCTTATATCCAAAAATGTAAAAAGATTATGATTAAACCCTCATGTATCTCTTTCTTTAAAGGAAGCAACAATTTATTTTTCTACATTGTTCTCCTCCATTTACAAAAAAGGCTGTTAAAACTTTATCTTTATGCTGTAAATTAAATATATGTATCTAATCCCTTTATATGCTTTACGTGTAGCTTTATCTAATCGCTATTACTATTTTAACTTTTATTCAGTTATTATTATTTTTTTTTAATTATTATTATTATTTTTGTTCAAACCCCTGGCCATCATTCACTGGGAATTGAACGTATTTCTTTATGTACTTATTGCTTTTTTTGTTTTTTCATCACAATGTTTTTATCACAGCACTTACCTTTATCAAGGCTAAAGTTTAAAAAATGAAATAGTCTAGAGAGCTTTGCTTAACGAAATTTATTTTTGTTTACACTTTTGTGTACAAAATGACAAAAAAAAAAATAAGTCTAAAGTCTAAATGTCGTATTTTATAAATAATTTTCTAATAAAAAATAAATAAACAAAAAAAATAAATAAAAGAAAAGCATTCAATGAACAGTAGGTTGCGAAATGCTAGCTTTGCTTTTAGCAGTTCAATGGGTGGAAGAGGTAAGACCATTAAAATCTATCATTTGCTCAGATTCCAGTTCGTCATTAGTCAGTTTGCAAAATAATCAGTCAGTCAGTAGACCAGATATATTACTTGAAATACAACAAACACTTTACAGAATAAATATGATGGGGCTAGTGGTAAATTTTTTTTGGGTTCCGGCACATAACGAGATAAAAGGAAATGAAAGGGCAGACAGGATGGCTAAGGAGAGTACCAATAAGTTAAGGGTAGACATTAATGTTAGTTTTGGTATAACAGAAATAAAGGGTATAATTAAACAAAAAGCAAAAGAGAGGTGGCAAAAGTTATGGAATGAAGAAAAGAAAGGAAGGTGGCTTTATAAAATACAAAAGAGAATTGGACCAATGAGAAGATCAGAAAGGAACAGGGGAGAAGAGATTATTATTTCTCGACTTAGAATAGGACACACTGGATTGAATAGATCGTTATTTTTGATAGGGAAACATCAGACAGGGAAATGTGACTGTGGGGAAGATGAGACTGTGGAACATGTCATTTTAAATTGTAGTAAATATTCGATACAGAGAAACAGGTTAATAAGGAAACTTAGTGACATGAAAATGAAACTTGACATTGTCGATTTATTGCAGAAGGAATCAGGAAGCAGAGGATATCGGGTTATATTTGAATTTTTGAAACAGATTAGGTTGTATAATAGGGTATAGTTTTATTTTAATTTTTTTTTTTTTTTCTGCCATGTAGTCCACACTCCATACCAGTTGGTGGCGGTAATGCTCACCTAACGTTTTTTGCCAACCGCCAATAAAAATCAATAAGAAGAAGAAGAAGAACAGTAGGTTGCGCTATCCATCCGCCAAGGTGGTAAAGAGAAGAAGAAGAAGAACCTCCTCCCATGATAGAGACGGAGCGACGCATTTCCGGCTTCAGTCTCGAGCTCCAGCACCACCACCACCAAAATGGCGAAGATCGCCAAAACACACGAAGGTAAAAATCTATTAAATTGTAGTTGTTTCAATATCTTCTAGATATTATTCACATTGATTTTTAAATAAATGCACCACCAACTCTATCCCTGGAAGCAGCACGCGCTATTCTGCTCATTTAAGGATTTTAAAGAGGATGAACAGCAGGCCTCTGACGACGCAACGCGGACGGTTTTATATAATGGCGCTGGTTGCTAATGCTAACTAGCTGGCTTAAAGCGACACATTTCCTGTCGCTTTTTTCTTTTAATATTCGGATATATACATAGTCTTTAATTTGCTCTTCGTGCTAAAGCTAAGAACGTGCAATAGTCTTGATAATTCACGTGACTTTTTGTCGTTATTTAGTTTAATGTTTTGCCATCGGTGGTCAGAAGGAAGGCTAGCGCCTAGCATGACCCCCATGTAACCAGCAGTAACCTACATAACAAATGCCATTATGTTCATTAAAAGTTCCATGCAAAACTCCGGTTTTACAAAACCACTTCGGGGTTCTTAAAAAAAATGTTTCATTATTTCATAAATAAAAAAATGTCAATATGGCCCCTTCAATCACGCGTTAAATAATGATGCTGGTGGCATTGAATTTATCAATCCTTAGTCTTTGTTTTTTTGTATCTTGTTTTTTTTGTTGTTGTTGTTAAACTGGTGCGAAATGATGTCACCTATTATATAGCAAAGTATAAATAATACATTTAACATAACGAATCACCTACAGTTTTTTCTTTTTTTTTAAGTTCTTAGCATCTTTTATTTTTCTTATAGTAAATTAGGATGACGCTTTGGAAACTTTTACAGGCCATCTGCTGCTGATGTTGAGCAAGCTCTGTACTGGTGGCTATGCAGTTTAGGCCAATTCATGTCCATTTCTCATTCTCAACAGATGCAGCGGTTTAATTAAAGACAATTTTTGGACTAATTCAGTGTGATTAGGGGGAGTGGTGGCCCAGTGGTTCGGGGAATCCAGAGGTTCTGATTTCAAGCCCCACTCCCACAGACTGCCACTCGGGGTCCCTGAGCTGCACAGGTGGAGGATTATATGCAGAGTTGCATTTCTTCAGTGCGAGATCAATAAAGTTCAATTATTTAATCACAGTTAATTTGCTGTTTGCTGTCTGATTTTTATTTTATTTTTTTACTTAAAAGTAAAAAAAAAAAAATAAACGTAACTTGTATCAGTTGCCTTCTCAGGATGAAACGTAATAGTTTAAAAATAATAATTTCTGATTATCCCCTCAATGTGTGATGTGATGTTATCCTCGCTTAAGTGATCCATTGATCACTTTAACCCAACGGTTGAGTAATGTTTTCTTTTTTAGAGTAAGGAACACATCTGAGCTCAGATTTAATCAACGCTTATAGTTTTAATGAATTTGTCTCGTTATCAGTTGTTTCTAGTCTCAGCTGTCACTATGCATTTCATTTACACTTGGAATATTTATAAACCACAAAAGCATCATTTGTTTTGTTTACTTGGGCATATTTTGTTTCTACCTTTTAGTTTAAATTATTGGTTTATTGGAATGGACAGGGTTAGTAATTCATTAAAAATAGAATAGATAATCCCTTTACTGTTCCACAATTTGGAAATATTTGAAAAGGCAAATAAAGTAATATTTTATTATCGACCTATGAGGGATGATGAATCTGTTTGACATTAGATAATACGGGGATCATCTGGTCCCAGTGAGGTAGATCCACTGTGACAATCCTCAAGACCAGCTGCTGAAAAAGAAACTAAATAGAATTTTTTCTGCAGTTGAATAACAAAAGTTTGCTTGATTAACCTGATGCATTTCTTAAAACATCTTAATTTTGACTTTTTTTTTTAAACTTTGCAGCCAATGCAGAGAGTTGGTAATGATGGATTTTAGCATCCTTAAATTTGCCCCTAACTTTGTAATTAGTTGAAAGTTACATAAATATAAAACCCAAAGGCATATTTTTAACACATCTGTCCTTCAGACACTCATTCCTGGATAATGTAGAATACAACCCTGGCTAATTTCTGAAATGAGCCGTGGCGACTTCCAGTGAACGTCCTGTTGACTAAATTGCTGCTTGATGCAGCAGATATCACGAATCTCGAACTGAAGTCCTTTGAACTGTACAGTTATTGTCCTATCCAGCATTCACTCAACACATGGGCTTTATTATTCATAATTTTTCATTTTTATTCCTTCTCTTGAAATTAGATATCGAGGCCCAGATCCTGGAGATCCAGGGGATGAAGGCCTCCCTGCAGGAGGAGAATGGAGAGCAGGGAGTGGGCCTGGTGTCCACTGGCTTTTATGACCAGGAGATCTATGGAGGCAGCGACAGCCGTTTTGCAGGATATGTCACCTCAATCGCAGCAAACGAACAGGAGGATGTAAGTAGATTTAAAATTTGTGTTTGTTTTCTCCTGCTTTGTGTTCTCCCGCATCATTTTTGGCCCTGCAGAGCTTGACTGCTCCCCATACGTGTTCTATACGCGAGCTAGGAGAATCTTGCCAGTTTGGTGAGATTTGACTAGACTCCTGCTTCTCGGTTCCTCCTCAGGACGACGAAGACGACACGTCAACAAGCTTACTGGGACAAAAGAAGCCCAGCTTCCACGCACCGGTGGCGATGCTTAATTCAATCCCCCAGTCAGATGAGCAGGTATGTCCATGTTTTTCTGGTGCATCTCATCATTATTTAAAGATGACGGGGCAAAAAAATAAAACTGCGTGATTTTTGTTTGTGTCGCAGTACGACCCCTTTGCAGAACACCGTCCACAGAAGATCGCAGATCGGGAGGATGAATACAAAGCCCGCCGCAGACAGATGATCATCTCGCCTGAGCGTCTCGATCCGTTTGCTGATGGTAATTCCTTGTCGTTTATGTTTCCATCACATCAACACTCCCCGAACTTTTAATTTCCCCTCTGCTCACGTTTGTGATTTTTCCCTGTTCATAAACATCAGTAGCTTAGCTTTACCGCTCAACCCTTCGACCACATTGCTCTAGCTTGCTTCCCAGACTCTGTGCCTTCCCTATGGTCAATCCTTCCTTTCTGATTTAAATCCAAATAAAACTACAGAATAATTTTTTTCTGTTAAGGAGAGTCAGTTTTCTGATTTTACCAATAATAAGCTTTTTTTTTTTACTGCCTGATTTGGGACTCTATAGGGTTAACCATGTGTTTAGGGGGAGAGGTGGTTGGGTCTCGCCTAACAAACATGGGTAGCAGTTGGGATGCGTGTGCGTCGAACGGTTTACGCTACCCAACATGGCAGACAGCATGTGAAGACCTGGGTTAGGTCCGGCGCCGCTGACCGGCCGATGCACTGTGCTTTTCCATACTGGGCACAGTCACGTAGATCCCAAGGCAGTCAGAGGAGGAAAGACCGAGCAGCAGAGACGTACTGCTAACCCCCAGATTTCACATCCTCCGTCTCCACCCCGCTCACGTACGTCGTGTGGAGTACTTGGCTGTCATTTTAATCTAAGGGAACCGTTCCACATCCACCGCTGCTCCTCCGCACGTCTTCTCCGTCCTTCTTCGTCAAAATACGGAGCCGAGCTATTTTTAGCTCCGGTCCGGCCAGGTCAAGATCCATAATTGCAATCACACCAAACAGGAAAAAGAACATCGCAGATCCAGTTTGTCAAATTAGAATATGGTAACGACAGATCGGTAAATACTAATTAGAGCATAACTCTTGTAAATAGTCAAAAACTAAGACCGTTTAATTGAATGATTGGATGCTATACTATTCGTACTTCATCATACCAGGAAGCAGATTTCTTATCCTGATTTAAATATTTATTTTACAGTGAGAGGCTTAAAAGTTTAATCAAATCCAGTCAAAACTTCAAAACAAACTTCTTATCTCAGGCCTGGATGAAGTGATGCTGAGTTTGGAAGTAGAGAACAAACATAGTTCATCCAAACTATCTATGATCACAATTATCCCTGTTACAAAAATCCCCAAAAAAAGAAAAAATTTGGGCAGAAACTCAACATCCTGATGGTGATTTTAATGTTATATTAAATAAAGCATTGTTTATTACCGAATCCTTTTCTCCGATGAATTTAATAATAATATCGCGCATGCTCTCCTCGAGCTCCGAGGAAGTCTGAGCGGAGCAGGACGGGAGGAACAGCGGAGGCAGTAGGTGCTGCTTTGCGCAGGCGGTCTGGAGCGAAGCGGAACGGTTACAGAGGATGTGGGATGTCGGGGTAATTTTGTAGCAGTAACGCTCCTTAGCTCTTACATTTCTCTGTTCTGTCCAAGGCCCAGAAAATAAGTGTTTTAAGACTTTATTTCTGATCATCGTACGGATTAAACCGCATCCAGTAGTTTTTAGATGGATGTAAATCATGGGCCTCTACATAAAAGTCCAGTATAAAACTTGCTTTGTAGACATATTTAAGCTTTCTTAGCATTTTCTGCTCTGACTAAAATCAAAGCAACTTATTAGAAGCTAATTTTCAATAGGAGCGTCAAAAAACCGCCGGAGAGTTTCAGATCTGGTCTAGTTTCTCTGAAACCTGCATGTAGAGAGAGCTCTTTGTGTAACTTTGTCATGTTAAAATATATTTTTATTTTACAGCTCTCTCCCTGTAAAATAGAAATATGTTGCCAAGAAAAGTTGTGTGCGAAAAATACCACAGGCCCATACTAACTGTCCTTAATTTCTCTCCTACAGCAGTACTGCTTTGCCAGTCCTGTACTGCACTCTGTAAAGGGTGCAGCAACTCATCCTGTGTAGGTTATGGGGAAGACAGTGCACTTGTCAGTTGGGTCAGGGTCCACTGGCCGCTTGTTTGGGAGGCTGTGATGGGGAATGAGATGCAGCGCAGCTACTTCAAAACCTCAGCCCCTGAGCACCTCTTTGATTCGGCCTCATAGATCCAACCAGTCCAAATTTGGCTTCATATCTTTACATTTGGCTCTCAGAGGAAGCAGAGTTTAATAAAAGAGTGATCAGCCGTGCTGTTAAAAATCCACATTTTTCCCCTGCAGATGTCATTTTCTGCTCATTGTCCTGTAGATCCATTGAATTTTGCCAAACTCTGTAGTGAAAGTCAAACCAATGTGGACCAAAGTGTCGGCATCAGTTGTTTGTAGTTTGGTGGGTATGCCCCGAAGAAGATGCATTGTTCTTTGAATGCCATAAATCATTGCAACACAGGTGGTATACTGTTGTTTGTGACTTCAAACCCTTTTCCAAAGTGTTACTAATGGTAAAGAGAAATTTTCTAGGCTTCTTTTCTGCCGGTTGAAGTCTGACTGCAGAAGGACCCTTGGCACTGAAAGTGTACGTATTCTGAGGAGCACAGCCCAGGAGCCCTGCATCAGTGATGGCTATACTTCTTAATCCACTTAAAGAAATCATCACAACCTCAGCTTTTCTCATGTATCTGTTTGTTTTTCTCTAAACTGCTATGACTCAGTTTAAGAACAACCTGTAAATGTTAACACAATTCAGTAGAAGTTGTTTTGCTAATCAGCTGTTAGAGCAGGAACATAAGTAAATGTGTTGGTAACGAGCTTACTGTGTTTGCGACGGCTCGTCCTCCACTGTCCCTGACGGCTCTTCTTTGTTCTGTTGGTGCTCTTTCGCGCAGGGGGTAAAACACCGGACCCTAAGATGCAGGTCAGGTCGTACGTGGACGTGATGATGGAGCAGAACCTATCCAAAGAGGAGGTGAGACTCTAAAAGAGGAATTTATTTTCTGTACAGCTTGAACAGAAGCTGATGAGGCTACTGCAGCTTCATTTATGGAAAAACAAAAAAATAAAATCTCCTTTTCCTGTTTTCTGCCTAAACGTCTATTCCACCATCTCTAACACGAGTTTTGCTCCCAGTGTTCCCAGTTTTATTTAATAGCACTTAAAGGAAAAGTTCAGTCAGCGAGGAATAATCAATGGTTCATTATTTATACCTAAAACTAATCGTTTGCTTTGAATTTAATGAATTTAGCGTTAATCAGTAAAAAAGAAAAAATTTTCACGGCGATCAGTCTAATATGGAACCCCCCCCCGCCATCTTCCAGCAGTGACATCACGGTGCGGTAAGCCTAGCGCCATTCTTCCCGCTTTACAAGCTAAATCAATGGGAACTACTAGACACATCTGCAATCAACAACAATTATTGAAGATTTCCAGAGGACTTCACCATTGAAATTCACCAGAGCTATAGTGAAACTGACAATGCCCACGTGCATGGCAGCTGGATGCTGGAATACATCGGGTAAAAGTGAAAAAAAGAGTTATTCCACCTTTCTGATTCCTGATCCTCCACGGACGGGTTGGTCGTTGGATCGCCAACTTGAAGAGGGAGGATTTGCCATCGAACTTCTGGCCAGAGAAAAAACCCGTAATATGTAGCCAACATTTGGAAGAAGAATGTTTTCAAGATGACTTGGATAATAGCGCGTTGTGACAAACACCAGATACAGCACTGGGACTTGATCAACAGCCGATACCGCACCGTGACGTCACTAACCAGTAGGTGGCAGTAGTGTTCTTTGACAAACATGGATGCCTCCAGTAAAGCACATTCACATGAAAATTACTCTGAATTAAAAACACTGATCATTTATTGAACAGGATGGAATCATTTCATATTTAAAGAACTTTCAGAAGTTTGAATTCTGAATATGAGCGAACTTTTCCTTTAAACCACCACTTTCCAAACTGCAACCAGTACGGTTAAATGGCTTCCAGAATGCGAATCCTTTCTTACTCTGGAAAAACAAATCTGGTAGTAAGTAATAGTGTCTTAAATAAAGTCTATTTACCCCTAATTTGAGCAGGGAAATAAGAATATTCGCCAATGGAATTACTATTTTTACTCTTAAAATAAAATAATTAGATAATATGCTTTTGAAATAAGACAATGCGATTGTTTCTTTTTTCTTATTTTAAAGGCAATTTGTCTTGTTGTATTGGCAAAGTGTCTAACTTACCTGCTCTATTCAAGGAAACTGCCTTATTTAGAGTTAATATTTTGTTGTGTTAAAGCTTAAAACCTGAATTTCAGGGGAAATAACTGATCAGCCTTCTGCTGTTTATACTAATGCTGATTTATTTCCCACCTCTGATGCGATTCCCGAGACACAATATAGCAGGAAATGCACCATGAAATCAATAGATGAACATTTATTTATTTATCTAATAACACGATTTAAAAGTTTAATCAACCAGTAAATCCAAGATTAGATCATTAAATGTCCAATCAAGTGATGAGAAGCAGAAATTACTTGGATTTGTTTCAATATGACTATAGTAAAGGATTTGAGCATTAAGGCCTCCAGTGTGAATATAGTCATCATTACTATAAGAAGTTTAAAGAGCTTGTTAAAGACTCCTGTCAAAGCTCAGAAAATCTTGGTTGTTCTGCCACATTGAAAATGCAAACGAATGACGGATTTAGATTGAAATCTGGCTTTTTATCCAGGAGAAGGCTCATTTAATGGCTGGTTTTAACGTTTCGTCTGTCCCGGTCTGTCTGTTTAGAGGGAGATCCGCCTGCAGCTGGCAGAGAAGGCCAAATCAGGAGACCTGAAGGCGGTCAACGGCTCTGCTGCCTCCCAGGCCGCTGCCAAACGTAAGCGCCGCTGGGACCAGACGGCTGACCAAACCCCGTCCAACGCCACGCCCAAAAAACTGTCCAGCTGGGACCAGGCTGACGCCGGCGCTGAGGTGATTCTTCACATCCAGCCTGTTCTGGTTCCTGGGGGAAAAAAACCGGACTTCACTCATCCTGCTCTGTTTTAGACTCCAGGACACACACCGGCGCACACGCCCTCCAACAGCCGCTGGGATGAAACTCCTGGTCGTCCTAAAGGCAGCGAGACCCCTGGGGCCACCCCCAGCACCCGCATGTGGGACCCCACTCCCAGCCACACCCCCGCCGGCGCCGCCACCCCCGGCAGGGACACGCCCGGCCACGCCACGCCCGGCCACGGCGGCGCCACAGGAAGCGTCCGCAAGAACCGCTGGGATGAGACCCCGAAGACGGAGAGGGAGACGCCCGGCCATGGCAGCGGCTGGGCAGAGACCCCCCGAACAGACCGAGGGGAGGAGTCTGTGGGGGAGACCCCCACCCCAGGGGCCAGCAAGAGGAAGTCCCGGTGGGACGAGACGCCGGCCAGTCAGATGGGATCCTCCACTCCACTGCTGACCCCAGGAAAAACCCCGCTGGGAACACCGGCCATGAACATGGCCACGCCCACTCCTGGTAAACACCGTCGCCTCGGCGACCTCACGGAGACTTAGAGCTCTCATTTCCCCTTGATGAATCCCACCTTTGTTTGCTTCCAGGTCACCTGATGAGCATGACCCCAGAGCAGCTCCAGGCGTGGCGGTGGGAGCGGGAGATCGATGAGAGGAACCGACCGCTCACCGACGAGGAGCTGGACGCCATGTTCCCCGAAGGCTATAAGGTCAGTTCCTTTCTGTCTGCCAACTCACTGTCACCCGTTCACCTGCTCCTCCAGCTCATCCCTCCCTCCTCTCTGCAGGTTCTACCTCCTCCAGCAGGATACGTTCCGATCCGAACCCCGGCCCGTAAGCTGTCGGCCACGCCCACACCCATCGGGGGCATGACGGGTTTCCACATGCAGGTGGAGGACCGCACCACCAAGCAGATGAACGACCAGCCCTCAGGGAACCTCCCCTTCCTCAAACCCGACGACATTCAGTACTTCGACAAACTGCTGGTCAGCAGCCGGGCCGTTTTACCGCTAAAGCTTCATGCCGTAAATGATCCCATGAACTGACTGTCTGCTGATTTCAGGTCGAGGTGGATGAATCGACTCTGAGCCCGGAGGAGCAGAAGGAGCGCAAGATCATGAAGCTGTTGCTGAAGATCAAGAATGGGACCCCCCCCATGAGAAAGGTCAGTTTTTACCCGTTAGAGACGCATCAACTGCTGCAGGATCAACACCCAGCGCTGAGCCTGCGTGGCCGCAGCGTGAATATGTGCTCGCTACACGACCTCCCCTCTGAGAAGCTGCTGCTGCCCGTGGAGCTTAGTGGACTAATGACTCTACTGGGAGCAATGGAAACCAGCAGGAACTCAGCTCTGTTCTTCTTAAGCTACTGTCACACCTTAACGATTTAGACCAGCTTATTCCTGATGTACGAAAAGCCTGTCAAAAACACATAGGCTGGAAAAGTTATGGGTACGTTTTGTATAAGTCATGAGTACGCTGAAGTACAATGGCATACGTAGACATAAGAAGAGTATGACGTGTGCCATCTTATCCTCATACATGGTCCATCAGTTCTCTGATGGTTGACATGCGTTCAGTGTCACTTCCTTATCAGTCGTGGCGTCTACGGTCATGGCCAAAAGTATTGAGAATGACACAAATATTCTATTTTCTCCTGATCTGCTGCCCTCTGGTTTTCATGTCAGATGTTGTCATCACATGCAGAAATATTATATATATTATAATAATATTATAATTGCAATCATATTCTGAGTAACCAAAGCTTTTAATGACAGAATGAGTTAATGCAGCAAGTCAATATTTGCAGTGTTGACCCCTCTTCTTCAGGACCTCTGTAAATCTCCCTGGCTGCTCTCAATCAACTTCTGGACCAAATCCTGACTGATAGCGTCCATTCTGCACAATCAATGCTTGCATTTAGTCAGAAGGTTTTCGTTTGTCCACCCGTCTCTTGATGATTGATCACAAGTTTTCAATGGGATTAAGATCAGGGGACTTTCCAGGCCATGGGCCCAACATCTCTCTGTTTTGTTCCCTGAGCCAGTTAGATATCAGCTTTGCTTTATGGCGAGGTGCTCCATCATGCTGGAAAAGGCATCGTTCATCACCAAACTGCTCTGGGACGGTTGGGAGAAGTTGCTCTCGGAGGACATTCTGGTTCCATTCTTTATTCATGGCTGTGTTTTTAGGTCAGACTGTGAGAGAGCCGACTCCCTTGGCTGAGAAGCAACCCCACACATGAATGGTTTCAGGATGCTTTACAGTCGGCATGAGACCAGACTGGTGGTAGCGCTCACCTCGTCTTCTCCCAACAAGCTGTTTAGTATTTGTTTTTCCTGGAGAGAAGTGGCTTGTTTGCTGCCCTCCTTCGGACCAGGCCTTGCTCCAAGAGTCTCGTGCAGATGCACTCACACCTGCCTGCTGCCCTTCATGAGCAAGCTCTGCACCGCTGGTAGCCTGATCCCACGGCTGAAACACTTTTCAGAGACGGTCCTGGCGCTCGCTGGTCTTTCTTGGTGCCCTGGAGCCTTTTTGGCAACAATGGAACCTCTCTCCTTGAAGTTCTTGATGATGCCATAGATTGCTGACTGAGGTGCAATCTTTCTAGCTGCCATTCTCTTTCCTGTTTGGCCATTTTTTTGCAGTGCAATGATGACTGCAGGTGTTTCTTTAGAGATAACCATGGTTCACAGAAGAGAAACAATGATGCCCAGCACCAGCCTCTTTTTAAATTGTCCAGTGGTGTCATTCTTACTTAATCATGACAGATTGATCCCCAGCCCTGTCCTCATCACCACCCACACCTGAGTTAATGGAGCAATCACTGAAACCATGTTAGCTGCTCCTTTAAGGCAGGGCTGCAATGACCATGAAATGTATTTTGGGGGATAAAGTTCATTTTCTATGCAAATATTGACTTTGCAATTAATTGCTGTTACGCTGATCACTCTTTAGAACATTCTGGACTATATGCAAATTACTGTTATAAAAACTGAAGCAGTTGTAAATATTAACATTTGAATCATTCTCAAAACTTTTGGCCATGACTGTAGTTTATCCAGAACCTCTGAGTAACTTGTGCAGAACTTCTGCGTAACTTAGCAAGAACTTCTCTCCAATGCAAATCAACGTAGCTGTGTCCCAGATGAGTGCTGAACGGGTTCATGGTGTGATTTTTAATGTTACATCGCTGGCAGGCATAATGGGATGAAATGCTAAACTGATGGTACTACAATTTACGCTGGCCAGTGGGTCGGTGCCACTGCACAGGAGGAAACCGTCAGTTCTCCTCCAGACTTCATCCCCATCATAGGGTGAGCCAGAAGGTGAGAGTGATGGATCCTCCCTGCGTTCACGCCCACCACCAACAAACTTCCTAGCAGACATGACGCTCAATCTGCTGCCACCAAAAACCTTTTCTTTCTTAATACTAGGGGTGTAAATAATAATCGTTTTGTATCGATGCATCGATCCAAAAGCCGACGATCCGATGCATCGACACGTCCACAAGATAATCGATTAATGTTTTTTTTTTCCCCTCCGGTCTATTTTTATCCATTTGCTCCTGGGCGTAATCCTCCCGTGCTGCGGTGGCGCTAAACCTATTTTGCCCTCCTACCGCGCTTCCTGGTTATACTCTTACAGCAGTTTGTTGCAGCAAGCTTCACACAGACATTTTTAAATTATGCTCAGTATTGAAGCGTGGTCTGGGCTACACGCTGTGGGTCTAGATACGGCCGAGGCGATGAGGAAGTGGGGGCGAGTTTAGTCCGACGACGAAGGGACATGAGGGCAAAAAGAGCGGAGATTCAGCTGGAAAAAGCGTCCCAGCGTTCTCGCGCACCTCGCTCTTCTAGCGGGTCAAACTTCACGAGTTTTTTTCCGCAATTTCGGTCATAAAAACAAAACAAGCCGACCTCCTGTCTGATGCACTGTTTGCAGTCAGCTACAATCTGGGAGAGGTGCAGCAGAGCGTCTCTCAAGGGGGCGGTGACGCAACACTCTGGAGCCTTCTTCTTCTTCTTTTTTTTAATGGCGGTTGGCAAACAACTTATAGGTGCATTACCGCTACCTTCCAGAATGGAGTATGGACCAGACAAACGTTCTTCTTAGAAAATTAAAAATACTACCAAAAACTACATCCCCAGATGACCTTTGAAAAAATTCCCTTATATCTAGTTTATTTTTATTCCTGTCTAACTCTCTACGCAACATCTCTCTTTCCTGAATATATTTATTACATTCTAAAAAAAATATGTTGGACAGTTTCTCTGGAGCCGAGGTATTGCATTGAACTCATTACACTGATATTGTGCAGTATTTTTGCAGTATTTTTTGATGCAACTTTTCTACTTCTGTTATTTGCTGTTGTTTCTAAAGAAAATGCATAATGATATTACAGCTTTCATTGATTTATTTCAAACTTGAAACTTTGTTTAGCCTGTAAGGTGTAAAAAAAAAAAATAATAATAAAAAAAAAATTAACCGATTAATCGATTAATCGAATCGAATCGTGGTGTATTCTTAAGTATCGAAAATAATCGAATCGTTGGGTCAGGAAATCGATACTGAATCGAATCGCCATTATGGATGTGATTTACACCCCTACTTAATACTATTTTAATTTTTTTTTTTTTTCTTTTTTTTTTTTTTCTGGTGGGTGGTAAACGGCAACTGGTTTAATACTGCGATCAACAAAATCTTCCTATGCAGTCCGGGCGCGTAGCCCCCATCAGGAGCAGCTTTAACTGATGCAGATGTTTAACTGCTGCTTAGGAAGGAGGAAAACTTCCATCCATCTTCTTCCTCTTATCCGGGGTCGGGTCGCGGGGGTAGCAGCTTTAGTAGGGAGGCCCAGATGTCCCTCTCTCCAGCCACTTGGTCTAACTCCTCCGGAGGAATCCGAAGGCGTTCCCAGGCCAGCAGAGAAACATAGTCCCTCCAGCGTGTCCTGGGTCTCCCCCCGGGTCTCTTCCCGGTGGGACGTGCCTGGAACACCTCACCAGGGAGACGTCCAGGAGGCATCCTAAACTCGAGCCACCTCAACTGGCTCCTCTCCATGTGGAGGAGCAGCGGCTCTACTCTGAGCTCCTCACCTCCCTCTCTAAGGGAGAGCCCAGACACACTATAGAGAAAACTAATTTTAGCCGCTTGGATCCGGGATCTCGTTCTTTGGGTCATGACCAAAAGCTCCTGACCATAGATGAGGGTAGGAACATGGATTGACCGGTAAATCGCATGCTTCACAGTAGACGCCGCACCAAGCATTGATCTCCGGCTCCATCTTCCCATCATCCGTGAACAAGAGGAAGACTTGTTTAGAGATTTTGATTTGTTCTATTTAAGCTGAAGGATACAGATGCAGCTTAAAGTACATAAAAGGACCTTTTTTTTGGGTGTAAATAAAGTATCTGTTGAATGTGACCTCCGGTTCTGACCCGTGTCGTCCTCCTCTGCCAGGCCGCTCTGCGCCAGATTACAGATAAAGCTCGGGAGTTTGGAGCGGGTCCGCTATTCAACCAGATCCTGCCGCTGCTTATGTCCCCCACGCTGGAGGACCAGGAGCGCCACCTGCTGGTCAAGGTCATCGACCGCATCCTCTACAAACTGGACGACCTGGTCCGGCCGTACGTCCACAAGGTGAGGTCCGCGGCGGCGAGGTGGGTTCGCTCTGCGAACGTCTGCCGTTCTCTAACGGTTCTCCTCTCTGCAGATCCTGGTGGTGATCGAGCCGCTGCTGATCGATGAAGATTATTACGCCAGAGTGGAAGGCAGGGAGATCATCTCCAACTTGGCCAAGGTATCGTTCTTGTCAGGCAGCTGCAGTATGAGGAGGTTTTAGCGAACCATTCTCGCCTGTTGGACCGGTCTGTGGTCAGAACGGGGCTAGTTGTTCGCCAGATTGACGCCAACATGAGAGCATGCAGACCTGGTGTTTCCAACTGGTCTGTTCTCAACCTGCACCCGTTGGTTACAAAGCTTTGAATAACCATTCTTCTCTGGTAGATTCAGTCTGTTTTTTTCCCAGAAGGACGACCTGTACTGAACTTCATCAGCTGGTTGATTTTTAACCTTTACGTGCGTTTCGTGTCCCAGGCTGCCGGCTTGGCCACCATGATCTCCACCATGAGGCCGGACATCGACAACATGGACGAGTATGTCAGAAACACCACCGCTCGAGCCTTCGCCGTGGTGGCCTCCGCCCTTGGCATCCCCTCCCTCCTCCCCTTCCTCAAAGCCGTGTGTAAAAGCAAGAAGTCGTGGCAGGCGAGACACACCGGCATCAAGATCGTCCAGCAGATCGCCATCCTGATGGGCTGCGCCATCCTGCCTCACCTGCGCAGCCTGGTGGAGATTATAGAACACGGTCAGTCTTCAGCTTCTGGCTTCAGACATTTATTTACAAACCGTTAAATCCAAACAAAAATCTCAGTTCTTATTTCGTTATTAAAAGAAAAATACAGTTTAGTTGCGTCTGAAGTTGAGTAAATCGATACTTGCAGGTCTTTAACACTAGGGCCGTTTTTCCATTCACAAGAACACGAGTTGGACTCAAGTAAGTTCTTGAGTGGAACAGGGGAAAGTCTGAACTCTGGGAGAACGGGAGCACGCAGAATAAATCTGGGTCAATTGGAACAGAAGCTTACTGATGACATCATCACACGCTCAATTCATCTAGAGCTGTTATTAATTGACTTTTTTTCATTTAGTGGGGGAATAATGATGAACACAGTCAGAGAAACACAAATCAAATTAACATTTTGGCAAAGGACAGCTGTCAGTCTGGAGAATGGACAAGTGTGCTCCTGATGCATGCTGGGTAAAGAGGGAGGAGCCAGAACAACATCCGTTGACTTTGTCTGTTCTTGGTCTTCTTGTTCTTGTGAACTGGAACAGTACTGACAGGGGTTGAGATTAAGGATTTTTACCACTTGCCTTTTGGGCAAGTGACTTTCACATTTCATTTGCCCAGAAACAATTTTTACTTGCCCAGTATAATGTTTGATAAATAGAGTTCATAATATTCATTTTTGTATATATATCAATGAAACTCATCTTTTCAAAATAAGCTTTGCTTTAAACTGTTGTGTGCTTGGCAAAATATAAATTGTAATGTTAAAAATAAAAAAAAACACTTGACGGCTTAAAAACTTACACTACTACTACTCACCAATTTAACATTTTTAGCTCTAACATTTAAATGCACCACTCCAATGTCTAAGAGAAAAAAATTTAATGAACATTTTTTAATGTATGACCACTGTACAGAAGCCTGCCATATGATAAAAAAAATAACACTGTGCGCATACAGTTATTATTTTCCTAATCCTTGACTGATCATTTTTAATCTAGCGTGTATTATATAGTATAGATTAAATTCATCATCCAGCTGCTGCTCTGCAGAATTCTCTCCCCAAGAGCTGAATCACTAACCTGACAACAGCCAGATGCATGTCTCGCTCCGCCCAGCTCCACTCACATACATCTGGGACACCACCATAGAAATTGCCTTTACTGAAGGCTGGGCCTTATCAAAACTCCTTGCATATGATTGGATAAGCCACTTGTCTGTCATCTTTATTGACGTGCTATTTCAACCACTCACACCGAAGCTAACCCGAGACGCTGTGAGAGGAGGAGCCATTTGGTAGATCAAGCTCTTGCCAAATCCGGTCGGGAGAAGGGCGAAAACATCGTTTCCACCAACAAAAGCCTTCAAAGTCGTTCTCTGATGTTCTTTTAATCAAACAATATCAGATAGATTGGACAACACAGAAGAAATAGCAGCATCAATGCTAACGCTTGCTTCCTCAATGCGAGCCGCCATTGTTGTTGGAATCTCACGGTCGCTTCTCCACTCCAGGACACACCCACCCTGCGTCCTGATTGGACAGACCATAAATACGGTTGGGGAAATCACTTTCAATGAGCGGGTTCCCAGATGTATGTGAGTGGAGCTGGGCGGAGCGAGACATGCATCTGGCTGTTGTCAGGTTACTGAATCACGCCATCTAGCGGAAAATCACGTGAGAATGTGTACAAAACGACAAAAATGGCACCGGCAACGCTTGTGGGTCGTTTTCAGCGAATGTCTGTGATTTTAAAGTAATTTTGAGTGATACCTTTTTTTTGCTACCATTGCACTTGCCCGGCGGGCAAATGCAATGAAAATTGTACTCTCCCAACAATAAATCGGGCAATGGCTAACATCGAGCCCTGTCTGAGGCTGACGTTCCACAAGATCGCACGAGTACACAGAATGAGGAATGAGAAACGGCACAAGAGTTCTCTATAGAATGTTGGTTGCTAGGCAACATCAATCAACTGTGGGAAGAATTTACAATGCAACTAATAGAGCCATCAAAATGACGGCTGTGGGAGATCGAGGTAAACTTAAACATGATTTTTTTTATGTTTTTACTTTATTAAAAAAAAACGTCAAAATGAAGGAAATATAGAAAAAGGGAAAGTCAGTTAATATGAGCAACATATGATTAATGTAAATAAAGTTCTCTCCCAGAATCGTCAAAATGACGACCCTGGTTTGTTCTAGAGTTAAACTCTCCGTCACTGTTTAACCGTAACCATAGGAACCATCTTAGAAAGCTCACTTTCAATATGGTCACTGAGATGTTTTCTGACGCTGCAGGTCTGGTGGACGAGCAGCAGAAGGTGAGGACCATCAGTGCCCTGGCCATTGCCGCCCTGGCCGAAGCTGCTACGCCCTACGGCATCGAGTCCTTCGACTCTGTGCTGAAGCCGCTGTGGAAAGGCATCCGGCAGCACAGAGGAAAGGTGAGCCTTTCTACTCCCACAGGTCTTTTTTTGCAAGATCAACACCCAGCACTGCGCCTGCGTGTGGCTGCAGTGTGAATACTTGCTTGCTAGATGGTCTCCTTTCAGGAGCTGCCGCCGTCACCCGGCGTCCAGTGATGGACGGTCGATGCCTGGCTGAAGGCAGCAGACAAATAAACGTACTCATTGATATCTCCATAACTCCTAACCTCTCGTGGTGTCACCAGGGTCTGGCTGCTTTCCTCAAAGCCATCGGTTATCTGATCCCCCTGATGGACGCCGAATACGCCAACTACTACACCAGAGAGGTGATGCTGATCCTGATCAGAGAGTTCCAGTCACCTGATGAGGAGATGAAGAAGATCGTGCTGAAGGTAGGAAAGCTCGGATCTACCGTAAAGGTTTGGCGGCTCATTCTCGCCTGTTCGGCCGCCACGTGGCCGCAGCAGGGCTAGTAGTCCGCTAGATGAACACCAGCATGAGAGCCATCAGGAAGAGCAGCTGTTCTCTTTCTGTTCTCACCCTGCACCCGCTGGTTACAGCCTCACACCCGCTGCAGATCAGCTGCTTTAACTTCTCTTCTGTGTCTCAGGTGGTGAAGCAGTGCTGCGGCACTGACGGCGTGGAAGCAAACTACATCAAAACGGAGATCCTGCCCCCTTTCTTCAAGCACTTCTGGCAGCACAGGATGGCTCTGGACAGACGCAACTACAGACAGGTGAGCCGAAGGCAGAGTTTAGATGAACTCACATTTATTTCCCAGTTAGATTTGGACATTTAAAGTTAAAAAGGTTCTTCTTTCCTGGAGCTTTTTCGCATCCAGCTCACACTAATCTGGTTTCTTCCTTTTTTGCTTTGAATTCAAGGTTTAAACTGAAATTTGAAAAAATGTAACTAAATCCACGTAATGCAGCTAAAGGTCAACTTTATCGGGGTGTCCACAGGTCATTAAAAAGCATTAAAAGTCAATAAGTCAAGCTTTTTTTATAATAAAGTCCTTGGATGGGATTAGAATTCATTAATGTGACGGATCAAATGAAAAGGTTTCTGTTTGCGCCTTCAGCTGGTGGACACCACCGTGGAGCTGGCGAATAAAGTGGGAGCAGCAGAGATCATCTCTCGCATCGTCGATGACTTGAAGGACGAAGCAGAGCAGTACAGGAAGATGGTGATGGAGACCATCGAGAAGATCATGGGCAACCTGGGAGCCGCCGACATCGACCACAAGCTGGAGGAGCAGCTGATCGACGGCATCCTGTACGCCTTCCAGGAGCAGACCACAGAGGTGAGGAGGAGCTCTGCCGCCGGCCGGCCGGCGCTTCTAGAGCCGCTTTTCTGGAGGTGAACTCAGTTTCTCTGGATATCTCTGTTTCTGCAGGACTCTGTGATGCTGAACGGCTTCGGAACGGTGGTGAACGCTCTAGGGAAGCGCGTGAAACCGTACCTGCCTCAGATCTGCGGTACGGTGCTGTGGCGTCTCAACAACAAGTCGGCCAAAGTCCGACAGCAGGCTGCGGATCTCATCTCCCGCACCGCCGTGGTGATGAAGACCTGTCAGGAGGTAAGCTGTGCGGCGTCTGCATCGCAGCGCGACCGAACGCACAAACTGACGCTTCTTTCTGCCACAGGAGAAGCTAATGGGTCATCTGGGCGTTGTTCTATACGAGTACCTGGGAGAGGAGTACCCTGAGGTGCTGGGCAGCATCCTGGGAGCGCTGAAGGCCATCGTTAACGTCATAGGTGAAGCGCAGCTCACATCCGCCTGCTGACGCGTCGTTTGAGGAGTTTATTAATGAAGAAACTTGGTTCTCTTGCAGGTATGCACAAGATGACTCCACCCATCAAAGACCTGCTCCCTCGTCTGACGCCCATCCTGAAGAACAGACATGAGAAGGTGCAGGAGAACTGCATCGACCTGGTGGGCAGGATAGCCGACAGGTCAGTGCCGATCAGGAAGTGATTCTGACCCGCGGCGCTGCCGCCGTGACGCTCCGTTTCATCCGAACCCGTTTCTGTGCAGGGGGGCTGAATACGTGTCGGCCAGAGAGTGGATGAGGATTTGTTTCGAGCTGCTGGAGCTGCTCAAAGCTCACAAAAAGGCCATCCGTAGAGCCACGGTCAACACGTTCGGTTACATCGCCAAAGCCATCGGGTGAGCCCCCCACACACACACCCTTTTTTTTTTTTCTATCAGAGCATTTTTATTTATTCGTCTCCCTCTCTCCTCAGGCCTCATGACGTGTTGGCCACCCTGCTGAACAACCTGAAGGTCCAGGAGCGTCAGAACCGAGTCTGCACGACCGTGGCCATCGCCATTGTGGCCGAGACCTGCTCGCCGTTCACGGTGCTGCCGGCGCTCATGAACGAGTACAGAGTTCCTGAGCTGAACGTGCAGAACGGCGTCTTGAAGTCGCTCTCCTTCCTGTTCGAGTACATCGGAGAAATGGGCAAAGACTACATCTACGCCGTCACTCCTCTGCTGGAGGACGCGCTGATGGACAGGTGGGAGGGGTTGAATTTCTATTCAGTTTATTTCTATAGCTCCAATTCCCATCATGTCATCTCAGGTCACTTTCCAGTTCACCAGATCATCCAGTCAGATTGATTCAAAGTTTTCTATCTAAAGAAAACCAGCTGATTGCATCGACTCATTGACTCTTCAGCAATCCCTCACACTAAGCATGCTTGTAGCGACAGCGGAGAGGAAAAACTCCCCTTTAACAGGAAGGATTCTCCAGCAGAACCAGGCTCAGTGTGAGCGGCCATCTGCTGAGGCCCACTGGGGTTCAAGGAGACAGAAGCAGACATAGAAAAAGAAGCATAGATACAAAAGGCAACTGTCAACCAGCTCCACAGGCGGCCCCGTCCAGGAAACACACAGCCAGGCAGACGAGCTCCGAGCCAGCTCCCATGTCAGAGGATGAAGAGAGCACATCCAGTTAGTCACAGTCAGAGAAACAGGACTACACTGGAAAACAGGCCAAGCTCCAACATCTAGAAACAAAGGTGTTGATGGCAGCAGCACAGCTGATATTTCTCTCCAGGATGGAGTCACAGCCAAACAGGAACAGACCAGATGAAGCTACTATGAGAAAAAGCAGAGAGAGCAGAACGTTAGAGATTGAACTAACAGATTCTGCAGAGTGGGAGAATAGAGATAGAATGAAGCAGGATGATGAAAAAGGGGTCCCTATGTCCTCCACTAGTCTAAGCCTATAGCAGCAGAACTATAGAGATAGATCAGGATAACCTGAGCCACTCTAACTAGAAGCTTTATCAAAAAGGAAAGTTTTAAGCCTAGCCTTAAAAGTAGACAGGGTGTCTGCCTCACGGACTAAAACTGGTAGTTGGTTCCACAGGAGAGGAGCCTGAGAACTAAAAGATCTGCCTCCCATTCTACTTTTAGAAATTCTAGGAACCACTAGTAAACCTGCAGATTGAGAGCGGAGTGCTCTGTTAGGAACATAAGGAACAATCAGATCTCTGATATCAGATGGAGCTTGGCCATTTAAGGCTTTATATGTGAGAAGGAGGATTTTAAATTCTATTCTGGATTTAACAGGAAGCCAATGAAGAGAAGCCAGGATAGGAGAGATATGATCTCTCTTTTTCATTTTCATCAGAACCCTGGCTGCAGCATTTTGGATCAGCTGAAGGCTTTTAACTACAGTTTGTGGACTTCCTGATTGTGGCGAACAGACAGAGCAGGTTGAACGTCCACTGAGGTTGTTTTTCCGTCTCCTGCAGGGATCTGGTCCACAGACAGACGGCCAGCGCCGTGGTGCAGCACATGTCTCTGGGCGTCTACGGCTTCGGCTGTGAGGACTCTCTCAACCATTTACTGAACTACGTGTGGCCCAACGTTTTCGAGACGTCTCCCCACGTCATCCAGGCAGTAATGGGGGCCCTAGAGGGGCTGAGGGTGGCCCTCGGGCCCTGCCGCATGCTGCAGTACTGCTTACAGGTAGGGGTCCGGAAAAGTGTTGGATCTGACGCCAAACGCTGCACCATCTAACCGCCGTTTCTCCGTTTGTCTCCGCAGGGTCTGTTCCATCCTGCCCGCAAGGTGAGGGACGTCTACTGGAAGATTTATAACTCCATCTACATCGGCTCCCAGGACGCGCTGATCGCTCACTACCCGCAGGTCTACAACGACGAGAAAAACGTCTACGTGCGCTACGAGCTGGAGTACGCTTTGTAAATATCCTCCCCTCTTCGCCGCCCGCAATTCCGTTTTTATTTAGTGGCTTCATGTTGCTTACATTCAGTTTCCTCTGTTTGAGTGAAAAATGGGAACGGAAAGGAAGGAACCTTGTAGAGTCTGTATGTATTTTTTACTTTTACTTCGTGTTTCCTGTGAGAAGCAGTTGAGGTCAGAAGATGATCTTGGAAAATAGACGTCATCAGCACATTTTAAGATCCTGATTGTTTTTGTCTTTGAATTGGTTATGATAGATCTGTAGAATCAGAAACGCTTCATTCTTCACCTCCTCTGTTCTTAGATCAAGGCTTTATTTAACCAAATAAAAGGTTTGTGTACAAAATCCTGTTTCTGTCTCAAATTTTTTAATCTGTAATGAAAACCAGCTGCACCACAGACATCGACCCGGTTTCCCCTGCAGTCGGCTTAGGCCACGTCAGATTTTCACTTTTGGACATTTTTTATTTATCTTTATCAAAGATTTTTCATTTTAGTCTGGGGACAAAAAAAATGTCATGTAGACCTTTTTTCTTTTCTTTTTTTTATCTGATGAACTCATAACATTGAGAATAACTAAGTTGTAAAATTATCAGAGTAAAGTCGCAACATTTGGAGACTAATTTCATAGAATTATGAGAATAATTCTTCCAAGAGTAAAAAAAAAAAAAAAAAGCAATCCTCTGGACTTTGTTTCCAAGTTTGAAGACGTTTCTCTTCCCATCCAGGAAGATTTTTCATTTCAAAATGTCAGAATTAGCGTTGAGTTCCAGGCTTTATAGAGTGGACCAAAAACAAAGCCTCGTTTTGGCAAATTGAATCTGGTGGTAACCAGGCAGCGTTAAAATGACAGAATTTCTTTGGCCTTCGTTGTTCTGAATTTCCTTTCAAATATATGATACTGGTAGCCTACTTCCATTTAGCCTGCCTTAAATAAAATTTCACTAGCTTTGTTTCGCAAGTCAGTTTGGCGAAGATTCCATTCTGTCTTTTTTTTTTTTTTTTTTTCTTATTGCCATGCAGAAATATTGCAGCTGCTGGAAGATGTCTGAATAATGTTCTGTATAATGTTATGGTAACTACTTTTTCAATAAATGAACCTAGTATTTTATAGGTTCAAGGAGACACAAAATCTGTTTTTTATTCATTCCACTGGTAGTCTGTTTTGATCAAATATAAATAGAGGCCTGCCTCTAATTCTGGCCTCCTTCCAATAATGGCCTGGACCAAGATGCACCTGAGTGAAATAAAGGCCCCGGCCTATATTAGAGGATTTACGGTATCTGCAGTTCAATGCAGTGAGGAATGCTCTGATATGTACAGGTGCTGGTCATAAAATTAGAATATCATGAAAAAGTAGATTGATTTCAGTAATTCCATTTAAAAAGTGAAACTTGTATATTATATTCATACATTACATACAAACTCATATATTTCAGATGTTTATTTTGTTTAATTTTGATGATTACAAATGACAACAAATGAAAATCTCAAATTCATCATATCAGAAAATTAGAATATTGTGAAAAGGTTCAAAATTGATGGCCCCTGGTGCCACACTCTAATCAGCTAATTAACTCAAACCACCTGCAAAAGCCTTTAAATGGTCTTTCAGTCTAGTTCTATAGGCTACACAATCATGGGGAAGACTGCTGACTTGACAGTTGTGCAAAAGACGACCATCGACACCTTGCACAAGGAGGGCAAGACACAAAAGGTCATCGCTAAAGAGGCTGGCTGTTCACAGAGCTCAGTGTCCAAGCACATTAATAGAGAGGCGAAGGGAAGGAAAAGATGTGGTCGAAAAAAGTGTACAAGCAACAGAGATAACCGCACCCTGGAGAGGATTGTGAAACAAAACCCATTCAAAAATGTGGGGGAGATTCACAAAGAGTGGACTGCAGCTGGAGTGAGTGCTTCAAGAACCACCACACACAGACGTATGAAAGACATGGGTTTCTGCTGTCGCATTCCTTGTGTCAAGCCACTCTTGAACCACAGACAGCGTCAGAAGCGTCTTGCCTGGGCTAAAGAGAAACAGGACTGGACTGCTGGTGAGTGGTCCAAAGTCATGTTCTCTGATGAAAGTAAATTTTGCATTTCCTTTGGAAATCAAGGTCCCAGAGTCTGGAGGAAAAGAAGAGAGGCACTTCATCCACGTTGCTTGAAGTCCAGTGTAAAGTTTCCACAGTCAGTGATGGTTTGGGGTGCCATGTCATCTGCTGGTGTTGGTCCATTGTGTTTTCTGAGGTCCAGGGTCAACGCAGCCACATACCAGGAAGTTTTAGAGCACTTCATGCTTCCTGCAGCTGACCAACTTTTTGGAGATGCAGATTTCATTTTCCAACAGGACTTGGCACCTGCACACAGTGCCAAAGCTACCAGTACCTGGTTGAAGGACCATGGTATCCCTGTTCTTAATTGGCCAGCAAACTCTCCTGACCTTAACCCCATAGAAAATCTATGGGGTATTGTGAAGAAGAAGATGCAATACACCAGACCCAACAATTCAGAAGAGCTAAAAGCCACTATTAGAGCAACCTGGGCTATCATAACACCTGAGCAGTGCCACAGACTGATCGACTCCATGCCACGCCGCATTGCTGCAGTAATACAGGCCAAAGGAGGCCCAACTAAATACTGAGTGCTGTACATGCTCATACTTTTCATGTTCATACTTTTCAGTTGGCCAACATTTCTATAAATCCTTTGTTTTTATTGGTCTTCAGTAATATTCTAATTTTCTGATATGATGAATTTGAGATTTTCATTTGTTGTCATTTGTAATCATCAAAATTAAACAAAATAAACATCTGAAATATATGAGTTTGTATGTAATGTATGAATATAATATACAAGTTTCACTTTTTAAATGGAATTACTGAAATCAATCTACTTTTTCATGATATTCTAATTTTATGACCAGCACCTGTATATTGGAGAAACCAAACAACCTCTCCAGACGCATGGTCCAACACAGAAGAGCGCCCTCCTCTGGACAAGACTGCGCTACATCTACACCTGATGGATAAAAGACATTCTTTGGAGGATCAGAATGTTCACATTTTGGACAAAGAAGACAGGCTGGTTTGAGAGGGGCGTGAAGGAAGCCATCTATGTTAAGAAAAAAAAAAAAACCTAAAGTTCCCCTTTAAGGTTGTGTTTTGTCCAAATGACACAAAACTCATATGGGTGCGTAGAACATGATGTAATAACATAAAATCAACCCAAGGTAAAAAAAAAACGAAGTTCAAAAATCTACAATGCAGCAATTGAGTTGATCCCTTCCCGCTATCATCGTAACCCCAACCCCTTTAGGCGAGGTCTTCTGTTTCTCTGTATTCAGCCAGGCAGCAATTTCCCCTATGACCCCCCTTTATGAAGCATAGACTAATATCAGGCATTGAAGGGTAACAAAGAAACCAAACAACTCCCCATTCCTAAGGGGTCGACCCGTTCTTCTGGTACAATTTGCATGTTTTCTAAGCCAAAACAAGGCTTTGCTTTTGGTCCACTCTATAAAGCCTGGAACTCAATGCTAATTCTGACATTTTGAACTAAAAAATCTTCCTGGATGAGAAGAGAAACATCTTCAAATTTGGAAACAAAGTCCGGAGGATAGTTTTTTTTTTTTACTTTTTTGGAAAGACTATGATCTGGATGACTGAGAATCTTCACCATCATTATGAGGATAAAGTTGTATTTTATGACAACTCTAACAAGTAGCTCTGTCTTCTCTAAAATGATTAATGTGAAGCTATACTTTAACGTTGGTTTCAATAGTAAGGAATTAAGTCTTTTAGCGCACGGCTCAAATTATTAGTACGTCTGAGACAAAGTGGACTCAGGTTGCTGATTGGTGGAGCTGATTGGCCGTCTTATGCTGGAGGATAGTTTTACTTTTTGACACGTCTTTCTTCAGAAGAGCTCCTAATCTGTCTTTCATTTAAAATCATCACTTTTGGACTAGATGTTTCTGTTTAATGCGATTTAACATAGGGATTTTTTAATTAATCTGTTCAACAAACCCAGAAACAAATCCAGAGATTTCTGAAGGATGTGGAGCATCAGTCTGGGAAAATGAAGTAAAACCTGTAGTTTGGGGACGAGGTACTGATGTGTTTCTGTCCTCACACTCAAAAGAAATGTTCACTTAGCAGATCATTATGAGAAATGCAGTTATAACTTTTAAATCTGTTCCAAATTCTCTCTCCTTTATATCACTGAATAATACTGAAGAGGGCAACCATTTAGTTTATTCCCCCTTACAAATTTATGATTCTGATGATGGGGTTGCTAGTTCTCTGTGTGCTGCCTTAGACAACACAGGCCCTTTAAAAAAAAAAAAAAAAAAAACTTTGAAAATAGAAAGCTTGCTCCTTGGTTTAATGCAGAGCTGCGCACTTTGAAGCAAAATGCTAGGAAACTGGAGAGAAAATATCGTTCCACAGGCCTAAGGGAATCCTACCTAGTCTGGAAAAATGGTTTACTGCTGTATAAGAGGAGCCTTTGTAAAGCAAGAGCAGCATATTTAGACTTAGACTTAGACTTAGACTTCTTTATTTGTCATATTTCTCCTCATTAATAGAGGAGAATAAGAATAATCCTAGATTTCTTTTTAATACGGTTGCCAAACTCACCCAGAGCCATAGCTCTGTTGAACCGTCCATTCCACCTGCTCTTAGCAGCAATGATTGTATGGGATTCTTTATAAATAAGATTGATCTCATTAAAAGTTGAGGCAGCAACGATTAAACGATTGATCTCTGGAGGGTGGGGCAGCATCTTAGGTAGTCATGGAATCTGAACCGGGTTTTGACTGCTTTGATCCAGTTGAACTTTCAGAGTTGGCAAAATTATTGTCTATATCTAAGCCTTCAACTTGGATGTTAGATCCAGTTCCAACCAGGTTATTTAAGGAGGTATTCCCTTTGATCTCCTCCTCCGTTTTAGATGTGATTAATCTATCTCTGTTACAGGGATATGTACCAAAGGCTTTTAAGGTTGCTGGAATTAAACCTCTGCTTAAGAAACTGTCTCTTGACCCAGATGACTTGGTCAATTATAGACCTATATCCAATCTTCCTTTCTGATCTAAAATTCTTGAGAAAGTAGTTGCCAAACAAGTCTGCAATCACTTACACCATAATGAACATTTTGAAGAGTTTCAGTCTGGCTTTAGAGCTCATCATAGCACTGAAACAGCTCTGGTGAAAGTCACTAATGATATTCTCATGGTTTCTAGCTGTAGTATCTGATGCTGAGCGCTAACTCTGGATCTCTGCTCCTTTAGTCTGAAGGCTATAACCTTAGTTTGGTTTTTATTCAGTCGGAGAAAATGATGTTTCATC